GTTCTCAAGGTAAGCGTTATCAAGAGGAGACTGCACCCACGTCGGTAAGATAAAGCCGATAGAGCTCTCTGATATGTCGAACTTGACGTGAAAGCCGTTTGAATGTATTTGTGGAGACTCTGTGACCTGAAAAGATAATCGTCAATCAACAGCAAAGCACCTAAAACTGACTTACTCTGAAGACTGATTTGAATCCTATTCCTTTGTGTCCAATGTAGCCTGCAGGTACCCCTTTCTTTGTGGACTTCCCGACATCACAAAGAGCACGGATGTTCTTCGCTGTAAAGCCCTTCTCATTGTTTAAAACGACGATCCGGTCTTTTTGAATGATAAAAGCGAGTGTGGGATGGGCGTTCAGAGGATAGCTATTGTCATCGGCATTTTGCACCTGGGTAACAAACAACCAAAAACCAGAAGACCATGAAATGGACTGAAAAGAAAAGCCTTTGAAAATGCGTACCAGCTCAAGGATGAAGTGACAATCTTCCGAATACAAATTCTGAGAAAGGCACTCCAAGGCACGACCCATTCGAGCATGCTGCTTCGCAAGTAGTCCAGACTGAGTTACTTCGTCTTGTTCCTCGAAGCCAAACTCGTCCTTACGTATCATTCGTACCACTTCTCTCGCATCACTATCGAGGCTTTCTTCCGACATATCAGCCACCTCCTTCTTCACAGAACGGAGTTGACTACCCGGTTGTCGCTCAGACAAAACGGTCTCGTCACGCCTCGGTTTCTTGAAGTGGTTCTCACAGGCGGAAGAGCTATCCCGATAGCTCTCATCTGCATGACTTGCAGCTTCAAAAGTGGAGTAGTCGTTAATCCACTGCGGAACGCCCAACGCCAATCCCACCCTGTGAAGCATCAAGTGATGAAGGACGCTGCTACAGTTTTGTAGAAGTAGGGAGCCAGCATCCGGGAACAGTCTGGAAAGTCCAGCGTAAAGAACCTCCGCCGAGAACTCAATAAAATCGTGAGGCGCGCTTGCAAGGCAGTCAAGTATAAAGCAGGCTGCTTCGTGATGGTTTTCCTGCTTCCTTTTCCGGCCATTGTTTACCCTTGCTCGATCGAAGTATATTTGTAGCCCTTTAAGCGCATGTGTCTGGAGTAGCGCTTTTGGAGTTCTTGCGGCTCCTCCGTACAACACTACTAGAGATACCAGCTGCGCCGCAACATCCAAAGACCGCCCGTTTACAACTGCATCGAGAAAGCTATCTACGCTTGCATCTCCATCTACTCGCAAGAGCTTGCCATCCCTGGTCGCAACAGCTAGAACCTGCCGGTTGCATCTTCCATGCTCGAGCCACTCTAGAAGAGGACCAAGTTGAGGCTCATAGATGTCCGTCCATTGCGACCAAAGTGTCAAGTCAGCTAGCATTGGTGCCTTTACGAGACATGCTTCGGCATCTGCGTCTGTCTTACTTCCAAGCTTGCCAACCTGGGCACTGAAATTTGGCAAATATTCCCCAAGTAACGCTACCGAGAAGTAAACTGTGCTTGGTCTCCTGATATCATCTGGGGTAAGATCCTCAAAGCTTGTCGTTGCTAGATTGAACTGCTTGCAGCACCGGACTGATATATCCTTCTCTGACAAAGTGGCATCTGCATTCGACGCTTGCCGACCAAACGCTTGCATGCGATGCCGTGGAACTGTAGTGGTATCGATTAAGCTTCTGTTTTCCATCACCATCACCCTGTCGAGATGCACTTCCAGATAGTTCAGAAGACTTTTGCATCCTAGACTGGAAAACACCTTATCTGTGAATGAGCTGTAAAGCAGCTTCTCACAGCCAATGGCCCAATTCAGAACATTGCACCACCACCTGCCATTCCCGTGCGTTGTTGGAACGTATCGTTCAAAATGTTCCTTGATCACTGAGAAAACCTCGTCATTGGTACCTGCAAGGAGAGCCGTAGCAAGTGAAGTCTCCAAAAAATTAAAATAAAATAAAATAAAAGAATATACCAGTGCACGCGGGAGGAGCTTCCACAAGAGCTACTACGTCGTCGTCATCAGAGATCGCTTCTGGAGCTATGACGTCCCATTCTCCAGAATTGATAGAGGCTAACTAAAAGGAAAGCATTCACGGTAAAGCCAACGAAGCCATGATTCTTACAGCAACATGAAGTATTTGAGCCACCGGATAGAATTTGAAGTAGCGAACTTTACGACTTCCCTTGGTATCCGCTAGAATGTGATTCAGTGCCTAACACACAGTTCAGTACAGAAAAATAAAGACATCTGCCCACCTGAGCCACAGAACAGTCGCGGCAAGTATCTCTCCACGTTGCTACAAACTCAACAATCGATGCTCTGCTGATTTCGTAGTCGAATCCCGATAGCGACTCAAAAGCTTTTTCCACTTCTGCAGTGGAGCATTGCACTGTTGCATCCATGTCTTCATCTGACGAATGAAAGCAGCCTTTCATGGAGGCTACCTACGAGAACCAGATATTAAAACACGAAGCACGCAAAGACTAGAAAGTCTCCTTACAGCGATGTTCAGCAATGCAAGTGCTGGACGAGTTTTAAAGAGTTTGAAAAGCCTCCTCAAATTCTTTTCACTGGTTACTTGAGCAAGCATTCGCTTAAGTACCTGCTTCAAAGATACATGAAAAAAACTCGTAGAGAAATGGAAGAGGCAGATGTTACCTCGGTCACTGGAAAATCGTGGCAACAGCGCTTCCAAGTACGAACAAAATCAGAGACAGCAGATTTCTTGAGAGAAAATTCGTTGTCCACCATTTCTCCACAAGGTTTTCTCTGTTCTTCTCGTGAGGATGGAAATGGACATGTGCTATGCCTCGGAGGTACTGCCTTGTTGTCGTCAGAATCAGAATCGGAGTAGCAGAACCGTATGTGTGAAGGTTTCTGGGACGCAGAGGATTCGACGTTAGTGTTGGTTTGCGTTCCTCTCAGGGCTCTCTGTATAGCCTCCCTCTGTTCGCGGGCTTTCTTCATGTTTGCCTCCCACTTTTGTAGAGCTTCTTTTTCTTTCCGTTTCACTTCCCGAGTGATACCAATGTACATCCTACGGCCACAGTCAGTCAGGAGATTAAAAACGATGAAGGGAGAAAAGCTAACCCGAGGCTTTGAATGCGAACGCAGAGTCTTTTGACGTCCACACTTCTCTCTTCGGCAATGAAGGAGAGTAGAGCAGCCGGATCAACGTGCTGTTTTTTCTCCATCAGCCTGTTCAAGTCCTCTAAAACCTCCAACGCAGTAATCTTGTAAACTTGCATCAATCCGGCAGAAAAAATTTGCTGGACGAGGGCGTGTTTTACGACAGGTCCAAGGCCAAGATCATCAAACGTATCAACTCGTTCCTCCTCGCACAGCCCGAGAACCAGGTCGTGGAGCGTCGTGATCCGGTTCCCTGCAACATAAGCCACTATATAGGCGTTCACCTACACCCATAGAAACGCTTTAGAACAGAACTCGCGCAACAATTTGAGAAGAAAGAACAGAAAGAGAAAAAATGAAAGAGCTTACTCGATTCCCACCTTTCCTTCGATTGCCGATAGCGTTCTCAAGCAAGGGACTTGGTGCATTTGCACACCAATCGACTCCAGCGAGTAAATCCCCAGCTGACACAGCATTCTGCCGAGAACCGCCGCGACTGTGACACCGTTGCCATCGCCAAGAGCCTGCTGGTAAGCTGTGACGGCCGCATTATCCAAGCGCTTGATCGTCTCCTCGTACATTGCCCGATGAGGCTGCGGCTGCCATCTCCCGGGCGCAATCCAAGGCCGAGGAGGAGGAAGAGCAGGACGATAATCTGGAAATACCTGACCTCCACTGCCGCTGCCGGAAGGAATCCTTCTCTCCGCCATGGAGAGAGAAATGCCCTAAACCCTACCTGGGGGGTTTTAGAAGATTAAGTTCAAACATAACCATGGGTAAGTTTACCTTTAATCTTGGAAATTAACTAGCTCCAGGTAAATGTATAAAAGGATCTTTGGGGTGAATATGCTCACCGCGAGTGGATAATAATACATGCAGCGTTCACGTGGGAAAAGATGCTCTTTCCATCCATCGCGGCGAATATGCCCCGGACAACAAGAACAAGGCCTACTACTTGGCTTCTTGCTTATGGTATGGATTTCCAGCGACAGGATCTTGGCTTGTACGCGCCCATCATTATTCTCTCATGGGAGTGAGCTAATCGCGCTTAATTAACATCCCGCTAATCTAATGCGGCGCCGGGTCTACAGTCAATGGTCATGCTTTCTTCGTTGCCGCTGTCTCATTCTAGGTGTAAACATCCTCACAGCAAAGAGGATCCCTCTTGTTTTGGGCGAGAGATCAGTGCCAGAGGAATCGCTCGCCAGTATCGAGCAGAGAGGAGGAGAAGATCGAGAAGATCGAGGGAAAGAGGGTCTTTGTTTTTGTCGGTTCTCTCGACTTTGTGCAGTGGGCTCGCCGATCTAGGACAAAGGAGCGTCGTGGGCGATCTCGCCCGCGGTCCGGGCGTGGAATTGCTGTGGATTCCACTCGCGATCGGCGGGAGAGACGCGAGATAGGGGTTTCCAGTTCTTCCTTGTCATGATCTCGCGCTTCTTCTCTGTCGCTGGGATGCCACGCCCGCGAGATCCGAGGTTTGCTCTAGCTTGTCACCCAGAGACCAAGGCCGGACGAATTCCTCCTCGTCGATTCTCGATGGATTAGAGCAGGGACCCTCTCCAATTCTCTCTCTCTCTCTCTCTCTCTCTCTCTCTCTCTGATTTCTCCAATGGATCCAGCAGACGAGGAGAGATCCTTGGGAGTTGAGCTAGCATCGCCAGTGGAGGAGGAAGATCTGGGCGCTGCAAAGGCGAAGAGGGCGATGGGCCTGGTGGACTGGATTGGGCAGCTGCGCGCGGCATTTGGAGCCCCATTCCTGGCAGTGGTGATGATCGTGTATGGCGTCAACCAGGGATATGGCGAGAGCGTCAAGAACATGGCCATCAATTACTACTGGAAAGACGTCCAAAAGCTGCAGCCATCGTCAACCCAGGCATTCCAGGCAAGCGGCGCAAATTCTCTCCTTTTCCATACCTTTTCTTCTTTCTTCTTTCTTCTTTCTTCCAGGCACTGTCGAGCTTGCCATGGGACATCAAGCCAATCTACGGCCTTATAACGGACACGTTTCCCATTGGCGGGTACAGCGTAACTTTTGTAGAGTTCTCGGGCTTGCCAAAGATCTCTTCTTAAAACTTTGTTCTTGGCAGCTACCGGCGATGGCCTTACTTGGCGACGTGCGGCATGGCCGGCAGCTTGTGCTTGTGGATGCTGGCGCTTCTTCCCACTCCATCGCCGCTGGTCGCGACGCTGCTCCTCGCCGGTGCCGCGCTGTGTACCGCCTTCCCGGACGTCGTCACCGACGCCGCAGTGGCACAGCACAGCCGAAACGTACCACACCTCGCCAGTGATTTGCAGGTAACCATTCTTCTCTCAGTGATTGCGAGTCGAGAACTTCGCCACCGTCACGGCTAGATCGAAGAACTTTAAGGAGCTCGCTTGATCGTCTTGAGTTCTCGCAAAAAGATCCTGGAAGAGAACTTGAGTGGATTGATCGAGCGAAAAGTTACCAGCTAGGGAGAGAGAATTTACCACCATTTCTTGATCTTGATAGGAAGAGAGCTCCGCTACTGCCACCCTGAGATGATCTGATGCTGTTGTTTTGCACAGAGCTTGTCGTGGGGGAGCATGGCGATCGGTGGCCTCTCCGGGTGTGGGATTTCCGGGCCAGCCGTCCACTCCTTGGGTCCAAAGGGAGCTTTCCTCTTGATCTCCACGGCGCCTCTCATGCTCATCGTTGCAGCGTGGGCTCTTCCCGAGGACAAGCTCCCCAAGCAGCTCGCGGGGGCCAACTTCGCGGCACTGCTCCGCACGGTACACCTCTTCACCGCCACGGTCCGCAGCCCGAGCATCTGGAAGCCAGCCCTGTACATATACCTCTTCAGCGTGAACTCTCTCTTCCAGCCTTTCCACCTCCTTTTCTTTGTTTCGATCTCGCAATGCTGCTGCTCCTCCGTTGGTTCCTCACGTAGAATTCTCGTCGCTGCAGGGAGCTGTGTGTCCTGACATCTCGGAGGCAATGTTCTTCTGGATGACGGACTCCAAACACGGGCCCGGCTTCAGCGAGAACTTCCTCGGCCTCGTCAGTGCAATCGGCTACGTCGCCATGGTCTGTGGGATCCTGCTCTACAACACCTGCTTTCGATTCTACTCGTTCCGGACGATGTTCAAGTGGACTCAGGTAACTCGATCGCGAGCGAGCTTCTCTCGCCACCTTGAACGTTTGCTTCCCAGGTTGCAGTCTGCCTCGTCAGTCTCCCAGACATTGCTCTCGTCACGAGATACAACTTGAAGCTCGGTGTTCCAGACCATTTTTTCGTGCTCGGTGACAAGGCGCTGTCGAGCGTCATCTTCAAGCTGCAGCTGATGCCAATGCTGGTGCTCTCGGCCAAACTTTGCCCGCCGGGAGTGGAGGGAACAGTGTTTGCCTTTCTCATGTCCGTGTCCAATCTCGGAGGTACCACTGCTTCCTGGCTTGGCGCTTGGCTCCTCAGGCTCTTCCACGTCAAGAAGGACGACTACACCAATCTGTGGCTGGCCGTGGTGGTGAGAAGCATCATGAGATTGTTGCCATTGATCTTCCTCACGGCTCTTGTCCCGGACGGTGGCCCCGACACGCTCGTTGATAATGGTCCTGCTTTGCAAGTGGTAGCTTCAAATCAGGACGAGAGTGAGGCTCAAGATGATCTTGTAGAAATGAAGAAGTTGGCCAAAGGAGTTGAGCTTGGACAAGAGAGCCAGCTTCTCATCCAAAGCTTGTAACTCAAAATTGTGGAATGTATAACAAGAAATAATTTGCTACAACAGAAAAAAAGAGGTCATAAAGTATTTTTGTGATTGTAAACTTACTTGAAATTCTCACTTTCATTCGCGAACATTATAATATATATTTCGACGAAACCTGTGAGATTGGTTAGTAACATATTAACTCACGAATGCAACGCACCTGAGTATCCCCGTTGGCGGTCTCTTCTCGTGTCTGGACCAGATGAGAAAGTTTGGAACTCCAATCTTACGTTATAAGGCAATATAGCTCTTCCTTTAATCAATCGTAAAAGCCGAAATTTGCCGGCAATTGTTGCAACAACCTGCATGCATCCATGCAGGCTCGTTAGCGTCAGAAATTTGAGCAAGCTTGCCTGCTTTGCGCGTACACCGGAGCAAACATGGCAGTCAGAGGTGCATGGTCGGACAAAGAGTAGTTGTCGGGCCATGTCCCCTGCTCCACTTCCGGGGGATGAAACGATGCGTGTCTCACGTCAAGCTCAGGACTCGACTCCACCAGGCAAGGATGATGATCCGGCTCTTCAGGCTGAGCAAACTCCCAGGAGCTTTTTCTTATTTCCGTTTGGAAGATTCTCTTCGACCAGCTGCCAAGGCTGCTTCCGTTGTTGCAGTCGAAAGTATTGTCAAACGCGAGACTCTCCTGAAATATAGACTTCATAAGACTTTTCTAAGTTGAGTGACATACGTACTTGAAATTCGTCGTAGTCAATGACGCCGTTGCCATCAAAGTCTGCAGATTTTATCAGTTCCTCAATCTCATCTCTTGAGAGCCCTTCCAAGTCCTCCTTCGTCAGCTCAAGCTGCGATTTCTTTGTTAGATACGCAAGTTAGAACTGCATGCAGACCTACCCGTCTTAGAGTCGCATGGAAATCTTCATACGTCAAGCATTCATCGCATTCGTTCTGCTGGAAAAAACAAAACGCGTCTCTTCCTTGTTTGCCGTGTTCACGGAGAAGTTTTGACTGTCACAGGAAAAGAGAAAAACAAGTGAAAATGAAAAAGCACTTTCGTATGGACATACTTTAATGATACCGAATACAGCGCTTTTCCAGTTTTCTCTCAGCGACCCTGTACTTTTGCTGGGATTGAGCAACCATATAAAATCGACTCCACAAATATTGCCCCGGTGATTACGATGACTCACCCACTGAGAAAAAAATATGTCAAAAACGTCTAGTGGTGTGGACTCCTTACCCGATGCGCATCAGCTTCACAATCCGAATATTGGTGAGCAACATCGTACGATGACACAAACCCTTGCGACCGCAGGAACTTGTACACCTGGCCCCTTTTGCTCCCGTTCCAGTCCCTGAAAAAAATCATATGTAACGTGCTGGAAGATGTGGGATAGCTTGACTAACCCGCAGAGTAAAACTGGCGCATGCGATAGATTGTGGTCATCTTTGTACTGCTCCAAATACTTGAGGATCTTGTAAACCTGCTCGCCACGAATTGGTCAGCTAGCTAGTCACAAAGCACACCAAACTCATACCTGACGCAGCCGCACCAGACAAAAGTTGGAGTTGTGCGGGAATATGAGATGAGTATTGACAAGAAGAACTTCTTGTTGTCCAGCTACGTGCAAGCAGTCTCTGTACATTGGAATGTTTGATTGGAGGCGTAGAAACTGGGCAACACGGTCACCGCAATCGTGAAACTGCAGCTCCTGATAGTCCATCACCCGTAAGACGTCTCTTTTTACAGCAGTGAAGAGCCCTGGAAAGCTAACAGCACTTCCATATGAATGGAAAGGAGACAAAGAAATGAAACACACGTACCATCACCGCGTCCGTTTGGCCTAGCAAGTTTTCGCATGTCATACCCCGCTGCTCCTAAAGTTTTCTCATACAACTCAACTAGCTCTTCGTTTCCCGTCCAAAATTCCTAGCGAAGAACAAGACACAGAATAAAAAGATAATGATCGATCTTGTTGCTTTACCTGCAAGCAAATTGCCGACGATTTCCCTTTCAGAAGCATGTCCAGTATCCTCCGATTCCTGTCCAGCCAGACCTCTCGAGATTGGCTCTCGCGACATTCCTGCAAAAATATTTCCTTGCTAAGACCACGATAAAAATTCTTGGAGCCAAAGAATTTTCGTTACCTCTCCATTGACGCGCTTGTAAATCGGTGCCAAAATGTTGAAAGTAGTGCACGAGAAGGACGTGTTCACCGCGCTAGAAGCCGCTTCGTCCTTGAAACAGACAGCGCGACCGGCTTCCCTCCACGATCTCTTCCTCTTCAAATCGCCCGAGGATGCCAAGTCCCACGGCGCTTGGCACAGCATGGTATTTCGAGCCGCGGAGGACTGATTCGCCGACGAGAAATCGTGAAGAACGGGCATTCTCAGACCTGGCGGGCGATCCAAGCCGAGCGGCTGTGAGCTGATCGGAGGATCGAAGAAGAGGAGGAAGAAAAAAAAAAGAACCGGAGAAATCCCTGTGCGAGATTCCTTGCGCTCATTGCGAAACAATGGACAACGCGCAATGGAATCGCCAAATCCTCGCCCTGGCCGCGCCTTCCACACGAATCCTCTGACCAAACTCCACCATGGAATGGAAACCCTACAAAATTCCCACACACACACGATCGATATTTCTTTTCTTCGTTTGCCGCACACGTCCGCGTCACCGCAAGGAGGAGGAGAGAATATCCCATCGGCACAAACGCGCCAATTGGCTGGATCAAACGGACGGCGCGGATGCGCGAGCGGAGATCCCAGCCGTCAAACCTAGGGCTCCTCCGTAAAAAGGGGATTTGGCGGGGCGCAATCTCCGTGCCAAGATGTGTGATCAGCACCGGCAGGAGATCGATGCGGAGCTGCAGCGGCGAAAATCTCTGGGCTGCGATGGCGAGGAGGTGGAATCGGCGGCGTCGTCGGAGAAAATCTGCCACTGCCGCCCGTTTTGCAATTGTCACTGCCAGCTCCACGCCTGCGGCTGCGCTTGCGGATGCTCTTGCTTTTGCGTGTGCCACTGCCGCTGCCCGACGTGCCACTGCCCCTCTTGCAATTGCCAATCCAGGAATGGATGCCACTGCAAATGCCACTGCGTTTGCCTGTGCTTTTGTAGTGGCCGCGAGAGGAGCATGAGGAACACCAACAAGCGGCGCTGCAAGATCTGTCGCTGCGATCCAATCACGCTCTACAAGCCCACCAATGTGAATTCCTACGCGCGGCAGCACAGCTCCAGTTCGTGATCCTCCAATAGATCGATCGATCGAACGACATTTTGTTCCTAGTTTTTGTAAAAAATGGAGTTTTTGGATCAAACAAAGCTTGAGAAAGACACTATTTTCCTAGTTTCTTCTTCTAGGGTTGGAAGAAATCGTGCAGAATGGAGAGCTCCGGCGAGGTAAGTGGCGATGCTGGCGGCGATCCTTTGCAAATTTCTCCACTTTCCAGGCAGAAGAGAGGAGATTAGCGGCGGCGCACGCATTGACGCACTACTCTCCATTCGCCATGACTTGCATCGGCGAGAGCGTTACTCCCAGCCAGCTGAGACTCCATCTCCTCCAGGTATGGTTTCTCCAAAAGTTTCTCCCAGGATGATCTTCCATCTCTTCCACGATCTCAGGAACTCTCAGGAATGCCATCGACTTTGAAGACCCCCGGCCCCTCGGAGATCCGCAACGCCCAGAGGGTCACCACTCCAGTAGAGTTTCCCCCGCGAGAAGAAGAAAGAGTCAAGAATTGAAGATCTCTTCCATGCCAAAATCTCTTTTTGCAAAGCTTCCGGATCGAGATCGCGCCTAGCTATGGCCTGGAGCTCGCCATGACTTCTCTTCCATGCCAAAATCGTTTTTTTGCAGAGCCCCTGGATCGAGATCGAGCTCAGCTATGGCCTGGAGCTCGGCATGACGATACTATCGTCCCTCCTAAACCCCGCCGCCACCTTTCCGAGCACGAACTCCACCCCTTGATGCGCATTCTCCACCGCCTTGGACACCCGGATCCACCGCTCGCCGTGCTTCGGCTCCGCCGCCTTGCATCTCTCCACCACCTCCTCGATCGCCTCCGCGCTCCCGTGCTCCTGCTCGAACCGATACAGCACCGCCCAAAAGTCCCCGATATCCGGCGCCGCAGCCACTGCCCGCTTGATCCAGCTCCTCGCCTTGTCAACCTTGCGGTCCTGCCAGAAGAACTTCCCCACCACCGCCACCACGAACGGATCCTGCTCGCTGTTCTTCACCGCATCGAAGCTCCTGGCCTTCCTCTGCGCCCGCGGTGCCATCTCCGCGCTCGCGGCCCACAGGATCCCGCTCCTCCGGCACTCCTGGAGCGCTTTCGCCATGAGCGCCTCCGCCTCCTTCCACTTCCCCGCCCGCGCCTCCGCTCGAATCGCCGCCAGCCACAGCTCCGGATCCTCCTTCTTCTTGAGCCGCGCCGTCGTGAGCAGCGCCCTCGCCTTCGCGATCCCGCCACCTTTCTCTTCGAGCTCCGCCGCCGCCAGCCACACCGGCGTGCTCGTCGCTGGATCACACCTCTCCAGCGCTCGCTCGTACACGCTCCTCGCGGCGGCGAGGTTCCCAGTTCTCTCCTCGAGCTGCCCGAGCATCAGCCACAGCTTGTGGAATCCCGGGAAGCGCTTGAGCCCCTCCTCGAGCAGCCGCCTTTCCTCCGCCACCTTTCCCAGCTCCCGCTCCACCATCGCCGACTTCATCCACACTCTCTCCGAGCAGCCACCGCGCTCCCTCGCCTTGGCCAGCAAGATCCTGGCCCTCTCCGGCTCGCGGCTCTCAAACTCGAGCTTGAACGCCGCCAGCCAGATCTCCTCGGACTCCGGGATCGCAACGTATGCCGCCGTGAGGATCGCTCGAGCGCCATCGATGTCTCCCGCTAGCCACTTCTCCTTGGCTCCCAAGAGCCACAACACCTCGGCCTTTGGACAGCACCCCACAGCGCGCTCCAGCAGCGAGTCCACCGCTTCCCTCGATCCATGGCCCTTCTCCAGCAGCGCCGCCTTGATCCACACGCTCTTCTTCCCAGGAAACTCTTCCAGCGCGCGAGTAAAGATCGCCCTCGCGGTCGCGACCGATCCCCTCTTGAGACACTCCTCCGCGTCCGCCACCAACGTCCTCTTCTTGTCCTCCTCCTCCACGCCCAACCCGATCGTCCTCCTCACGATCGCCGCGCAAGTCACCGCCGCCGCCGCTCTCTCCGCCGCCTCCGCCTCCTTCATCCAGTACTCGCGGTCGATCACCACCCCGAGCCTCTCCAGCGACCGTATAGCGCGGTCGATGATCTCTGCCACGCGAGAGCCATTCCCCGCCGCCTCCTCGAGCTTGGCTGCCGCGATCCAGATCACGGGCTCGGTTGGCAGCGCGTCGCGAGCTCGGTTGAGCACCACCCTCGCCTTGTCGTAAGTCTCCAGCCTCGCCAGCGCCAGCCATAGCTCCACGTGGTGGCGGCAGCACTCGGTGGCGCGGCCCAGCAAGATCCTCGCCTCCTCCTCGCTCGCCAGCTCCACCACCGCCTTCCACAGCCGCACCGAGTCGGGTATAAACTCGAGCCCCTTGCGAAGAACGCGGCTCTTAGCGGCGCTCTCCTCCTCAAGCCCCGCCGCCGCCATCCACAGCTTCACCGACGTGGGGATCGCCTTCACTGCCGCGGAGATCACTCCCTTGGCGGCGGCGCCGCTCGTCAGCCTGCATGCCTCGAGCCACACGTCTTCGTTCTTCGGACACTCCTGGCACCCCTGGTGGATGACGCTCCGCGCGGCGGTGATCTTCCCCGCCACCTCCTCCAGCCGCGCCGCCGCCATCCACCCCGGCGCGTGCTTTGGATTGGTCTGGATCACGGACTTGAGCAGCAGGCGCGCCTTCTTCATGTCGGAGATCTCCGCGTCGCTGGTGATCTTCATGCTCTTGAGATCGGTGAGGTAGCCTCGGGGATCCACGACCGTGAGCCCACTGACCGAGTCGGACAAGCGATCCAGCTTGAGCGAGAGAACCGTGCCGCGTCCCTCGCCCACGGCTGTGAGGCTGCTGATGTTACTACTAGCGGCGCCGCCAACCACGGTAGCGCCGCCACCACCCTGGTCCAGGACCGTGTTACGCTCCTTTTGGGCCTTCTCAAGGAGTGTGTCCGGCGGAGGAACATAGCTTTCAAACCGCGCCTTCTTCTTCCGCCGCGACAGATTCGTCGCGTCGGGGATCTTCTCCCACTCTTGCGGGGGCAGCTCCACCAGAGTTCTCGTCACGTCCGCCAGGAGCTCCTTGATCGTGGGAGTGCTCTCGCGGCGCTGCTCGATCGAGCGCTTGAGCCGCTCCTCCCGTCGCTCCTTCCGTCGCGAATCCATCCTGGCGGCGACGCTCTCATACACCGCGTCGGCCTCATCGTCGTCGGCGTCATACACACCTGTGGCAAACAGCCCCACATCGTTACCCTCGAACTCGTCAAACTCTTGGTTCTGGATTTGGCCATACCCGCTCACCTCGTGCTCATCTTCCTCATCCTCCGCCCCACCGCCGCCAATAGGCGGCGGCGCCGCTTTGCCCCTGCCCCGCCCAAAGCTGGTGGTGGTGGTCTCCGGCGCCGCTCTGGCGGGGCCGATATCCGATCGAGTGGTGAAACCGGTGGCGCCGCGGCCCAAGCCAGCGACGTAGCCGGGCGGCGCCTTCGCTGTGAGGAAATCCAAGCGCTTACCCCCCATACTTTGCCCTAATCTACTGAAGAGCTTATATAATGGAAAAGGAACCTTTTCTCCTTTTAGGGCATATAACTTAAAAGTATTACGACCTTTTAGCCTCTTTTTGCCGTTTTAGGGCAGCTTTAAAGTAACCTAAAAGGCTGTCCTTTAAACAATCTTAGCCCAAAACATCGTTATTTTTAAGAAACTTTTAGTGAGACAAAACGCGAGAGCTTGGCATTGCCACTCTCGTAAGAAATAGTAACGAACGAAAAAGGATTAAAAGCTCGGAGTTTTTTGCTCGAGTACCTCCCGGTTCCTCCCTTTCGATCCGGGGAGAGACGCGCGCTCGCTCTAGTAGCGGTAGTGAGCGGGCTTGTATGGACCTTCCACTGGAACGTTGATGTACGCGGCCTGGTCGGCGGAGAGCTTGGTCAGCTTGGCACCCAGCTTGGGCAGATGCAGCGCCGCCACCTTCTCGTCCAAGTGCTTTGGAAGAACGTAGACCTTCTTCTCGTACTTGCCGGACTTCCTCTCGTTCCACAGCTCCAGCTGCGCAATCACCTGGGAAAGGAGTCGAATTTCAAGTTAGCACGCTTCGAAGTCACAGCCGCTATATCTAAGTCACTGAGAAACAGAGATATAGTTCTCACCTGGTTCGTGAAAGAGCAGGACATGACGAAGCTGGGATGCCCGGTCGCGCAGCCCAAGTTCATGAGACGACCCTCAGCAAGGACGATGATCCCGGTGCCTGTCTCCGGGAACACCCAGCGGTCGGTCTGAGGCTTGATGGTGATCCTCTTCACGCCGGGGTATGTCTCAAGGCCCAGCATGTCGATCTCGTTGTCGAAGTGACCGATGTTGCACACGATGGCGTTGTTCTTCATCTTCTTCATGTGGTCTACCATGATGATGTCCTTGTTTCCAGTGGTTGTCACGAAGATGTCAGCCACCGAGACAACATCCTCCAGAGTCAGCACCTCGAGACCCTCCATCAGAGCCTGGAGAGCGCAGATTGGATCAATCTCGGTCACAATGACGCGAGCTCCAGCGGCCTTCATTGCTGAGGCGCAACCCTTGCCGACATCTCCGTATCCAGCGACGACTGCGACCTTCCCAGCGATCATCACATCAGTTGCTCGCATGAGTCCATCAGGGAGAGAGTGTCGGCAGCCGTAAAGGTTGTCGAACTGTAAAAAGAAAAGCACTCACGATGAGCACTAACTTTTCAAGAGAATAAACAAAAGAAGTCGTGAGTACCTTGCTCTTGGTGACTGAATCGTTGACATTGATAGCCGGGAAGAGCAGCGATCCATTCGACTGCATCTGGTAGAGCCTCTTGACACCAGTGGTGGTCTCCTCAGAAACACCAACAAGCCTCTCCATCATCTTGTGGTACCTCTTGGGATCGACCTGGAGGCCCTCCTTGAGGATCCCAAGAACGATCTGGAACTCCTGGTTAGTGGTGGAGCTCGGATCCGGCAGCGTTCCATTCTTCTCAAACTCCTTCTCGGCCTTGACACCCTCGTGGATGAGCAAAGTGGCATCGCCACCATCGTCGACAATGAGATCTGGGCCGCCGCCAACACCCCAGTCGAGAGCACGCTCAGTGCACCACCAATACTCCTGCAAGTTCTCCCCTTTCCATGCAAACACCGCGGCGCTGTCACGGGCAATCGCGGCAGCAGCGTGGTCCTGGGTGGAGAAGATGTTGCACGAGCACCAGCGAACCTCAGCACCAAGGGCCGTGAGAGTCTCGATCAAAACAGCCGTTTGAATCGTCATGTGGAGCGAGCCAGTGATCCGAGCTCCCTTGAATGGCTGCGCGGGGCCAAACTCGGTTCTACAGGCCATAAGGCCCGGCATTTCGACCTCAGCGAGCTCGATCTCCAGCCTTCCAAAATCCGCCTGGGACATATCCTTGACCTTGTACTCGCGCCCGGCGGCAGTCTTCTCAACCGATAGAGCCATCTGCGAGAGCAAGAATGCGTCAGATCTGGAAGATAGAAATGCGCGACGCCAAGATCTAGGATATTTCGACGACCCTAAGCTCAAAAGCCGCAAGATTTGGAGAGATTGCGAGTGCTGAAACCCTGGATCTACATTCCAATCGGGAGCTCACCTTGATAGCGCCGAGAGATCGAGAGAGATCTGAGCTGCGAGAGCGTCGAATGCCGCTGCCGCCGCCTTGGAAGAGCCTGAAAGAACGAGGTCGCTTCACTCCCGTGAAACCCTTTTTGTTATACTTCAATGGGCCCCGTCAGGACGAATTAGACACTGGCACGTGGCAAATCGCTGACTAGATGAGCTTACCTACCAAATCGAACAATGGGTCACTCGTTCAATTCCGTCCAACCGCATTCCATTGTTGACTGGTTGATAGTGTGGTTGAGTTTTAAATTAACAGTGCCATTTTGCTACAGATTTTTCGATCCTCTTCTTCAAAATTTATATTTGGGGACAAAGTGCAATTTTGCAGGATTATTTTATTGATAAAGAGATTCACCACTGTACTGTGTACTTTTACTGGCCACAATTTGTCCATTTCTAAATGTTCCACATAACTATGGGCTCAACTCCAACCTCTAGATTTCATAGTACATTATGGGATCATAGTTGTGTTGCCCTTGCAGCTTCAAGAATCACATGTCACTAGCAATTATATTCAAATGTTTATGTAATATAACCATTAGAATTTTAACTTCAATTAATATAAAAAATTAATGAGGCTCTCACTATCCCAATAAAAATAGATAATTCATAATATATATATATATAGAGAGAGAGAGAGAGAGAGAGAGAGTACATTAAAATAAGTTTTTCATCTAATATATCTTAATTGTCATTATTTTCTAGATAATTTTGTATATGTTAATATATTAATTGATATACTTATATACAAGAATGAATGGACCAGATTCAATTCCAAATGAACAATCCATATGCTATATGTTTATATATATATATATATATATATATATATATATATATATATATATATATATATATATATATATATATATATATATATATAGACATGTATTTATATCATGGAAAATGTATCCACAATAAGAATAAATCGTTAAGACTAAAGGAACAATCATTTCTGCTACTTACTTGAAATTCTGGAGGATACTTGCCACTCCTAAAAATTGCACTACCTCAAAATGCCACTTAGGTGTGCAAGCAAAGCAAAGACTAAGCACAAAGAGTTTTTCCTATGCTTTTTTAATTAGCTCCCCATGTTCCATCATCTCATCCATGGTATGCACGATTCAAGCTTAGATCCAGGTGTGGATCATAGAGATGATCTAGCAGTGATTATCCAAATATACATACTCATTCATACACAGTCATATATAATTCTTTCCTCATGTGTGCGTGTGTCTGTCCACTTTCACTTTGAGGCTGAGGATGTTAAAAAGGAGAAATATGAAGCAACACCTAGGGTATATGGATGTGAAACACAAAAGTCTCACTCCCTCCAGATACCTGATCACTTGGCTAATGAAATTTAATCTCCCTGTGGATGCTAGAAACACCCTCCCAATGACTGTTTGTGATACATGCAAAGAATTTTCCTAAGGATTCCAGAGCACACCTGGGAACTCGCAGCCTCCAGCTGATTGTACTGGCATAACAGTGAGCCAGTAACTTGGTTTTGGAAATTTGGAAGCTGGAGCAAAGTGTTGAGAGTTAGAGATGCAAGCATGATTGGGTGAGTGCTCTCAAAATTGAAATCCTAACCACGAGTGGCAAACAAAAGAGGAGCATACCTAATTGCATAGGCTTCACGAGCTGATGGTGAGAGCTGAAAAGAATTTCACATCCTAGTCTTCAATGCTTCATTCATATCTGCTGAAGAATTTTCCTTTTCACTGGTCTTTTTTCCTTGATAGTTTTAGGGCGGAGAAAGGTTGCATTTGTTATGGGCGCTGTGGATTTGATGATTCGGGTCGCTGTGTGTAGCATCCTCCAGAGTATCGAGGTAAATCAGCTTCCATCCTGGATAATGAATTAGCGTTCGCTCGCCAGAGAGTCCAGAATGACCAGGTTGACAGGAGGATCTTGCCTCCAAGTGGATGTAAGTCATCGAATAATGAATGATCAAGAAATGTTTTTGTCACTCGCAAATTTTGATTTTGCGAGCATACCCTATCTATGCCATCATCCAAGAGGTGAGCCCATTTGCACCACCTTACGTCTCTTTGCAGGCCGGAGTGGAGAACGGCTTCGAGCAGGCTTCTGTGGTTTTCTTTGCCCTTCGACTTTTCTTGCCACAAGATACATCGCCCGCACCACCTGTCCATTGTCTTGCACTACATCGCGTCTGGAAAGGTGCTCCGAAAACAAAAGCTCATGTTTGTTCGTTTGGTAGATGCACATCAGTCGCGAGTCGTGAGTCTATTATAACTAAAGTCGACTGTTTGGTTATCCCATGCACAATGCTCACCAGTGCCACGTAAAAGACTGCAGTTGATACTGTGATCAACAGAAACAAGGAAAAGCTTCTCGCGGAGCTATATGCTGCCTTTAAAGTGCGCTTTTTTTCATAATGTAAGTCGACTTTTTCTGATCAACTTCCAGTGCAGCTTTACTGGCGCCACGCTGAGCACTCTCTACGAGCTGCTGCGGGAGAAAATCCGGGAGGCACACAAATCCAGAAAGAGCAACAAAGGTCGTGTTGCCGAGCAGGACTTGGATCTCATTTCCGACCGCCCTGGACAACACGGGGCCTCACGATAGGCTTTGATACGAAATGCTCTACGAACAGCTCTCTTGTGAGTAAATATTCTAGAATACTTTACTATCTAATGGTTGTTATTTATTTAGATTAATTTTGTATTTATAAATTGTAAACATGTTTATAATTATAAACTTCCATTTGATTAATTGGATTAATATATAGGAATAACACTACTACTAAGAAAATCAAGTGTTGTTGCGTATAACATATTATTATTGCATGAATTGACTTAAGCTATATAAGTAAGTAGCAAATCAAGTTTTAAAATTGACATATTTATATTTTCTCAAATTAAATAGATTTATGTAGCCCTTTTCCTTGAAGGGCAATAAAATAGATTATTCTTTCAGAATATTTTTTTCTTTTCTAAAGGATGAATGAATATTCCAAATGTGATGAATTTCTCTATCCATTTTGTTAGTGTATAATTTTATATTCCATTTTTCTCTTACCACCTCTTTGGTATGGCAATGAATATAATTGTGTATATTTGTTATAATGCTTAAATTATTTATCATATGTAGATTTATTGTTTGTTTTGAGTTGTATACAAAAATATTATGCACACAATCACTTTTCAATTGCTATATTAGCAATCAAAATGTGATTATGTATATAATATTTTTGTCATGGGATATACCCTATATACATGGCGTGACATCCTATGCAAAACTAATCTCAAACAACATAAGATCACCACAAATCTAACAAACGGTTTTTTGTCTTGTATGATTGAGTGCAGATTTATAATCTCTTGATTGTGATCATCTCTTTACTCTTATTTCACACAACTGTGGCTCATTTCTTATAATTTAGAAGCATAATTTTATTGTAGCATTCCCTTGGTCCCCACATCATATGTTGCAAGAAAAGCATTTAAACCACAATAACACTCTTGAGGTGATACACCCCTTCCTAACCTCCTAATTTATAGTTTTGAGATATTAGTGCAATGTACATTGGTGTAAGTTTTTGAATTTTTATTTTCTGGGAGATCACCCAACCCAATATTATTCAAAATATCCCAAAATTCTTAACTAATTAAAAAAAGATTGCCTCTACTTTCTATATTTGAATTCTTATAGATTTAATTACCCCACTATGCCCTAATGTCATTCCACACACAATATTTCATTTTCAATCAACATAATATATTCTATTACTGTTTACATAGTCTCAGATTTAGGAATCGGGCAATTTCTTTTGCAGCTCTGGCGTCCTTTTTGCCAGTGTTAAAGCTGACATATAGCATGTGAATACGTACTACGGTATGCACAAAGCTTTACCGCAAGCATACACGTAGCTCAATATCGACATAAAAGACACAAAAGTCCTAAAAGGTAGTGCATGCGTCACAATGCATCCTTTCTCAACTTGGAGATACCAGTTATTTAAGAACACTTGAAAGATGTACGTTTCTGAGGACAACCAGGCAATTCCATGCCCGAGCGGGGGAGGAGCTACTGGACGTGGCTCCTTGTCCCAGTTCGGAGAGCTCACCGAGACGAAGCGAAGCTCGTGTTTGATCGCCGTCGTGGGTCTCTGCGTACGCCCGCTTCGAATGCCCCCAGCAGCCCCCGAGGATCGAGATGGTGTCTCCTGGACTGCCGTAATCGCAGAGCTCTCTCAAAACTATCGCCTCCAGGACACAACACAATACCGACCGCAAAGTTTAGACAAGACAATAACATCATAGTCCTCGCAGTGGTTGAGCTTCACCATCTCAGTGAAGTTCTTGAGCGGGTTGGCGTCCTCTTCTTGTCCGTCAGACTCTGCTTCATGGCGATGGCATCAGGGAGCTCTACATTGTTAATAGATGCACTAGTCGGTAGCCACGATCTTCTATCAATCTTTCCTCACGACATTCTAGGGAGGAAATAGAAACCTTATTATAACAACCTTTGCGATGTAGGCAAAGAAACATAGAGTCAATCATGCACACCATCCACCAACACCGAGGACTGCTATGCAGTGGAGCCCCGAACAGCACTGTACTCCCCTTGGAATATAGAACGGTGCACAACTCTTGCCCTTGCCGGCACAATTCTCATTCAAGGTGAGAGCTAGATCCCCATGATCATCTTCTGCATCACACAGAATCTTAGTGACCAAAAGAGCCAATGAAACCTCACACTCACCAGTGTTAACAGGATGATCTTCAGCGAAGCCAGCTACCTCCTGGTTCTGCCGAGTTATGTCGTAAACCTCTTCTCCTGCAGCACAGGGAATGTCAGTGACCAAGAAACCGGAGCCACATCTCACACTCACCGATATTAGCAGGACGAGCAGATGCCATAAACATTGCCATGGTGCATGCTACAGCAAGAAAAAGAGTAAAGCGGAGAGCCATTGGCATGAGACTGGATACAACCGATTGAATGAGCGCTAGGAATCATAGAAGCCTACAGTTTATATATTCTAGAGCTGGTTGTATTTAAAACGTGCTGCTGCAAGCAGCCAATTATATTGAGCCACGTGTATGCTAGCTGTAAAACGTTGTACATAACGTAGTACGTATTCACATGCTATATGTCAACTTTAACACTGACGCCAGAGCTGCAAAAGAAATTGTCCGCATTGTGACACTGAGACTATGTAAACAGTAATAAATTGTCCGCATTGTGACACTGAGACTATGTAAACAGTAATAAAATATATTATGTTAGTTGAAAATGAAGTTGGTGATGAATTTGAGGTGGGTAATTTTATTTGACCATTTTTGAAAAGGGTAGAAATTTGTTTTTAAGGGCTAACCTTCAAAACAAAGAAACTTTTAAAATACAAAAGCTTAAAGATTTTGAAAGTTCTTTTCTTGTCCTTGACTGTCAAGTGGCTCTTGTTGGGTAGTGGGGATAGTTCTTCCTTAGGCTTACCTTAGTTATTCTCATATAAAATGTGTGAGTCACTTGGTAATACAAGGGGAAGTGTACCTCAATTTGGCAAAACATTGCAAAATATATGAAAAAAATTAAATATATGTGTGTTTAAATTATTGTAATACACATGTGTGACTCACAAAATTATACAACTTTTTTTTACGTATGGGCATGCAATAATGCCTTTCTAAGTTAGTGTCACATATACAATTTTCTACGCTATATTTGACTCAATGTCAAATTTTTTAATATGTTAGAAGGGTTTACACTTTGGGTTAGGGCTTGTAGTTGTGATGTTTAAAACAATTCGATCTATAAGAATTCAAATATAGATGGTAAGGGCACATTTGGAATACTCATTCATCCTTTAGAAAAGAAAAAATATTCTGAAAGAATAATCTATTTTATTGCCCTTCAAGGAAAAGGGCTACATAAATCTATTTAATTTGAGAAAATATAAATATGTCAATTTTAAAACTTGATTTGCTGCTTACTTATATAGCTTAAGTCAATTCATGCAATAATAATAATAATGTATTGCGTGCTGCATGCAGCAACACTTAATTTTCTTAGTAGTAGTGTTATTCCTATTGATTAATCAAATTAATCAAATGGAAGTTTATAATTGTAAACATGTTTACAATTTATAAATATAAGAGTAATCTAAATAAATAACAGCCATTAGATAGTAAAGTATTCTCGAATATTTAAATATATTCTAGGTATATTCACTACCACACCCAAATTAAACTATTATGAAGTAATATTAAAAGTAGCATCTCGAATGGAGAAAAACTAGTTAGAGTCATGTTGGCAAAAAACAACTCAGAAAGGAATCTTTAGTAAGACATTGATTGAGATCAATCTTCTCTAAAGTCATATTAAAACCCAGGGTTTAAATCAGCCACTCAAGAAATTTTAGAAAAGTAAAATTAAAGAATAAAAGGCAAATTAACATACAATTTGGACTGCTTCAACCACTATAGAGAATATTATATACATATGGAAGGCGCGCGCCGCGCAACCTCCACTCCTTTCGCAGCACGCACTTGTGTTTTTGCTTCTCTCATCGCAACCAACTGAGAAGAGCTCCCTCGGGTTGGGCGCCTGTGCCCGGGAAACGGCCTTAAGACCGTTAACGGACACGTGGAATAACGTGATTCGAGGATGAGAGGGTTTCTCTAGAACTGGCAGCTGGTAGCTGGGTTTTGGAGAACCTGGCAGTTGTTAGCCTTCTCGCAGAGAACCTGACATCATCCGACGGCTGCCAACGGCTAGATCAAGTTAACGGGCGAGCCACAGCCCGTTAAGAGAGGAGGTCCAGGCAGCGCCAGATTGATTACGAGCTGCTAGATCTGGGGGATGTTGCCAGAGATTTGTGTGTTCTTCCTGTAGCAGCTCTAAGAGGGAGAGGGAGAGGGAGAGGGAGAGAGAGGGGAGGCGAGAGGGGGAGAGGGGGAATGGATTCTTTCAATCCGTTCCAGGAGGAGGTGGGCGGGGGGGGGCATCCAGAGCACGTTTGCGGACATGGCGCTGCAGCACAAGCTCACCTTCCTCGTCGACAACTCGTCCCTCTGCTGCTGGACGTATGCAATCGTCTGGCAGCTCTCCAGCGCCGACGGCCAGATGTAAGCTCTCTCTCTCTCTCTCTCTCTCTCTCTCTCTCGTAGCATCACCTAGCATCATCTGCCATGGTTCTAAAAGGCGCTCACTTCACTTCAGGATTCTGAGCTGGGGCGACGGCTACTTCTCCACCAACGAGAACAGTACCCAGCGGAACGAGGCCAAGCAGTTCGATGCCGACCAAATTCTCAGGCGCAAGGTCCTCCGCGAGCTCCACGACCTGTGCCATCCCGAGGAGGATTATCGAGAGGTGGACCATGTCACCGACCAGGAGTGGTTCTATCTCCTCTCCATGTCGTGGAATTTCGCCTGCGGTGAAGGGTACGTAGAAACACGCTTCTTGTCTTGTTCCAAGGCTGATAAGCTCCAGGAGAACTCGCAGCATTCCAGGGCGGGCGTTCCAGTTTGGGCAGCACATATGGATTTGCGACACTGTCAAGCCCATTAACTTTCAGTGTGCGCGACTGGAGCTTGCCAAGGTAACGTATTCTTTTTCCTTTGTTTTTATCACCTGCGCTCCAAGATTGCGTGCTGACTTCACTCCTCCCCTCTGTGCTTGTGCCCAGAGCGCAGGAATTCAGGTAACCAAAAGTTGAACTGGCCATGTTGTATAGATCTCTCACGTACTCCACGCTGCAGACAATCGTCTGTGTTCCCACCCGAAACGGAGTTGTGGAGCTGGGATCCACCGAAATCGTAAGCTTTCGTGTTTTTCGCTTCTCTCTGTTGGAGATGATATATGTGGTGCCGCAGGTTAACGAGTGCTCGCGGACACTCCAAGACATAAGGAGATACTTTGAGGAGGAGCAGCAGCAGCAGCAATCACAGTAGCAACCGCAGCAACAGCAACTTCTTTCCCACCTTTGAAGTTTCTATTCATTGCTCTTGAACCCGCAGGATTCCTCGTTGCTATCCGGTCCTATATCCAGCACCAGGAAGTTTCCAGCTTGTGCCCCTGGGGATTTCTTGCCTCCTCTGAAAGAAAAGTCTCCTGGGTCATATGTCCTCTCAACATCTCCCAATCAAAACGCCGTATGCATTCCAATAGAGATCATATTTCCTCGAGGCCTTGACAACCCTTGTCACTTGCTCGACAAGCTCAACATCGCTAGCATTGTGTTTTGGCATGATCTCATGGATGAAGGACGAGCACACGCTGCTTAGAACAGAGATTGTGCATGCTCCTCACCTCCACCCTGATGGGATTGGTTTGCAACAGAAACGTACTAATTTTTCTTCTTGGTGGAAATCTCCAACAGCCTTTACAAACTGTGTCTCACGGAAGACCAGCTGCTTTGCAGTATTGGAAACGTCACCTCAAAGATCTTCATCGTCTTGCTTTGAAAAATCAGAGGAGAAAAACAGTCCAAGATGTAGAGAAAAGAAATGTACGTCCTCGTCCAGAGCAAGAAAAGTTAGGGCTAGGGTCAGCGTCCAGTTTATCTCTGAGCGTAAAAAGTATATACGCAGAACAAGGATGGCGTTTCTGCGAGCGCAGCGCGTTTTGTACATCCATCCCACAGGCGAAGCGGAACTAGACGAAGGAGTGCTGCGGCACAAGGGGAGGAGAGGTAGGCCAGTTCCCAGCGCTCTGCCCGATGTGGCCGGCCTTCGGGGATGGCTGCAGGAAGAACTGCCTTCTGTGGATTCGGTCCTCGTTCCCGGCGATGGATGGTACAATCCGGAGTACTTACCAGACGGCCCACTTCCTGTGAGCTTTGCGCTTCATGTGCGTGGATCCGAAGGTAAAGTAACTGGTTTTTTGCTCTTGGTCTCCGCTCATTCTTGGCGATGGTGATCAGGCAAGCGACGCAGGGACGAAAACACCGCTGTGACAGTCGCAAGGAGTCAGACGAAGAGGGTGAAGGATTACCAAGTATACGAGCCCATGCTAGTGGAGCCGGATATCCTACTGGGCGGCCGGTCGAGTACCATGCTTGTGGCTCTAAAGTGGCTAGCTTTGCTCGAGCGCGAGGCCGCCAAGGTAGACCTTACAAGCCTGAGAGAGCTCAGGCTTGCCAAGGTGAAGCCAAAGGAGAGCGCCTATTATCCCGGCGTCTTGGCCTTCTTACGAGCTGCTTCGATTGGTCAGACAGGCTTGAATTTCGGTGGGCACGGCTTGCAGGGCTTTATATGCGGCAAGCCAAGAGTTGTGTCGGAAGTGAAAACGAAGGTTTTCTATGCAACTGATAAGGATGAGACGGGTATGGTGGCCAATGCTACGCTGATAAAGCAGGAAACAGACTATCTGAAAACGGGAATCGAGGGAACGGATGAGACGGCTCGTCTGGGGTGCCTGTTTTGCCGCATGGACAGGTTCTGGATTGTCAAGTACCTGCGAGTGACGGATAAGGTTCAGGTGACGCCGGGATTTCCTTTGCCTCTGCAGCTGGCCGACTTCAGTCCGGATTTTGTGCTGATGAAGCTTTCGTGGCTAAATGAGACCAGCTTGGAGAGCATCAGCCTGAAAGACGTTCTACCTCCTAAACCGATGCCTGGATTCTGTACGTTGGTCTCCTATACGGAGGAACTGCAGCGAATGTACGATCTACCGCTGCTGAGTGTTCGTTTCGTGGGACCAAGCACTGATATCCCGCTCTCAGATCTGACGCCGGTGGCTTATGGCAAGAAGTCCCTTGTGGTGCTCCGACGATCGGCATTCAATGTCCTCAAGATCTGCTCGCCATCGAGTGCTGAGATGGAGCGACGCATCCATGCAGCATCCGACGGGCACTGCAACGTGCGGAGGCTTGTGAACTGGGGGATGGTGAGCATTGGGGAGAACAATGACGTGTTTGGCTTTCTGGAGCTCGAGGGCTATGGCCAGCCTTTGGGTCGGGAGCACATTGCCGACATGGAAGCGATGGATGATATGTGGAATCAGGCATACCGGGGGCTCAAGCATCTCCATTCCAAGGGTGTTCTTCACCGCGACGTGAAGCCAGACAACCTGGTCGTGTTTCCGGGCAACGTGCTCAAGATAAACGACTACGATGTGTCGTGCTTCAAAGGCGAGAGCCGTGCTTACAGCGAGATGGTGGGAACTGTCGGGTACCAGTCTCCTTCTGATATGTTGCCGTATGCGGAGGAGGACGACGTGTTGTCTCTGGCGCTCTCTTTCTATGCTCTCAAGTTTGGAACGACAACGACTTCGAAAGCGGGCCGGCTCCATATCTTACTCCGAGAGCTGCAGCCGGATGTTTTCCCTGGAGCAATGATCCAGGCAGTGGAAGAAGCGGTGATGCAACTCAACTTGGAGCTACTCGAAGAAGATTAGTACTAAATTTATAAAGTGAGCCTATTGAATGGTTTGTAAATTAAGACCTACTGTGTTCCTGAAGTGCCATTTGTAGCAACACCCAGTAATCACATAGACGTGGATCCCAATATGTCAGAGTCTATCAGGTTGGAGTTGTTTTATTTTGTTTGTGGTGGGCATGATGTTATTAGGAGCTGCATTTCGCAGTACATGTTCCATGCAGCACTTCTTCCTTCCCTCAGCTTGCACTTGGCAAGTCTACCACGCGGATGGAGGTCGACCCTCCAGCCAGTTTAGCAACACAAGAACAAGGTGGCGGTGGTGGTTGTGGTGGTGGTGCTCGTGTACATTGCCACATAGGAATCCATGTCAAGCTACAGTTGCACCTGGTGGTGAAGATGTAGAATTGTTTCCTGTTGAACAATTGGAAAAGTAATGGATGTATCTAGATGTTCATGGATAACAGGAGTACTCCTCCACTCTTTCACAGCATGCTGTGTGGAGTTGATGGAGGATGAATGGTTGGTTTATATTCATTTTCTTTTGTGTTGTTAATGTTACTAAGGTGATCGTCTTCGTGGATTCAGGTTTAACAATCTCCTCCATTCACTGCTTTATTGTCAATGTTTGGCAACATCTTTATAGTGCCACTTATGCAAGTTTCTAGTCCATTTGAATTGGTCATATATAATTTGATGGGCCATTTTCATAGGGGGTGTTATTATATTGTCATTGTATCTGATTACTTTATTCAATGAGTTGAGGTGTGTACACCTTGCAACATAATTTGAAAACCTGAGTATATCCTTTCAACTCAAGATTGTGAAAAGTGCTCAACATATGAATCTCTCTTTTCTCCCTATGGATGCTAGAAACACCCTCCCAATGATCAATGATTGTGACTGTTTATGACACATGCAAAGAATTTTCCTAGGGATCCCAGAGCACACTTGGGAACTTGCAGCTTCCAGCTTCCAGCTGGCATAACAGTGAGCCAGTAACTTGGTTTTGGAAATTTGGAAGTTGGAGCAAAGTGTTGAGAGTTAAAGATGCAAGGATGATTGCTGAGTGCTCTCAAAATTGAAATCCTCGAGTAGCAAACTAGTGGAAGTCCAAAAGAGGAGCATACCTAATTGCATAGGCTTCACGAGCTGATGGTGAGAGCTGAAAAGAATTTCAATGCTTCATTCATATCAGATATTCCTGCTGAAGCCTTTTCCTTTTCACTTGTCTTTTTCCCTTGATTGTTTTAGGGCGGAGAAAGGCGATGGAAACGGTGGTATCGGTGGTGGAGTTCATGAAAGCAGCCCGTGAAGCCTGACTGGATGGAAGTATGGATATAAGGGTACTAGACCTGAGTTGGAAGAGATTGACAGGAAGGAAAAGGAGCAGTCAGCATTGTACAGGGAAGTGTATTTGGCACTATTTGCTCCAATATGGGCGCTGTAGATTTGATGATTCGGGTCGCTGTGTGTAGCATCCTGAGGTAAATCAGGCTCCATCCTGGATAATGAATTAGCGTTCGCTCGCCAGAGAGTACAGAATGGCCAGGTTGACAGGAGGATCTTGCCTCCAAGTGGATGTAAGTCATCTAATAATGAATGATCAATAAATGTTCTTGTCACTCGCAAAATTTGATTTTGCGAGCATACCCTACCTATGCCATCATCCAAGAGGTGAGCCCATTTGCACCACCTTACGTCTCTTTGCAGGCCGGAATGGAGAACGGCTTCGAGCAGTGGTTTTCTTTGCCCTTCGACTTTTCTTGCCACAAGATACATCGCCCGCACCACTTGTCCATTGTCTTGCGCTACATCGCGTCTGGAAAGGTGCTCCGAAAACAAAAGCTCATGTTTGTTCATTTGGTAGATGCGAGTCGCAAGTCTATTATAAGTAAAGTCGACTGTTTGGTTATCCCATGCACAATGCTCACCAGTGCCACGTAAAAGACTGCAGTTGATACTGTGATCAACAGAAACAAGGAAAAGCTTCTGGCGGAGCTATATGCTGCCTTTAAAGTGCGCTTTTTTTCATAATGTAAGTCGACTTTTTCTGATCAACTTCCAGTGCAGCTTCACGCTGAGCACTCTCTACGAGCTGCTGGGGGAGAAAATCCGGGAGGCACACAAATCCAGAAAGAGCAACAAAGGTCGTGTTGCCGAGCAGGACTTGGATCTCATTTCTGACCGCCCCACGGGGTCTCACGATAGGCTTTGATACAAAACGAAGAGCTCTCTTGTGTGTAAATATTCTAGAATACTTTACTATCTAATGGTTGTTATTTATTTAGATTAATTTATATTTATAAATTGTAAACATGTTTATAATTATAAACTTCCATTTGATTAATTGGATTAATATATACTACTAAGCAAATCAAGTGTTGTTGCGTATAACATATTATTATTGCATGAATTGACTTAAGCTATATAATTAAACAGCAAATCAAGTTTTAAAATTTACATACTTATATTTTCTCAAATTAAATAAATTTATGTAGCCCTTTTCCTTGAAGGGGATTAAAATAGATTATTATTTTAGAATATTTTATAATATTTTTTGGATGAATGAATATTCCAAACGTGATGAATTCCTCTATCCATTTTGTTAGTGTATATTTTTATATTCCATTTTTCTCTTACCATCTTTGGTATGGCAATGAATATAATTGTGTATATTTGTTATAATGCTTAAATTATTTATCATATATAGATTTATTGTTTTTTTTTGAGTTGCATACAAAAATATTATGCACACAATCACTTTTCAATTGCTATATTAGCAATCAAAATGTGATTATGTATATAATATTTTTGTCATGGGATATACCCTATATACATGGCATGACATCCTATGCAAAACTAATCTCAAACAACATGAGGTCACCACAAATTTAACAATCACTTTTTTGTTTTGTATCATTGAATGCAGATTTATAATCTCTTGATTGTGATAATCTCTTTACTCTTATTTCACACAA